GACATCAGAACTTATTACAGACCATAGCTGCTCTCTCTTTCTGGAATGCTTTTCCTTTATCCCTTTGCCTGGTTATTTCTTACTTATCTTTTAAAGATGAAGCTCAGGCATCACATCCTCCAGGAAGGCTTCCTTGATACCCGCAGGATGGACCAAATCTCTTTTTTTGTAGATTTGTATTACCGGGAGTAAATACTGAGAAAAATGCTTGGCCCATCATATTGAAAGGGCTTAGCGTCTAGCTTACCTGTTAATCCTCCTGTTAACCTAACAGCTCCTCAAGAGCCACAATTTTGTTTTATTATCCCTATGTCCCCGGTACTTGGTATGGTGCAAGGCAGAGTTAACCCTCAGTAAATGTTTTTGAACTGAACTGAACTATCAGGACAGAAGAGGCTTCATGTCTTTTTGGTGTACGTGGTTTATTCTTGTAAATTGTTTCAAAGCCATTCAAGTGACTTGGGCAGAAGAAATACTGAAGAACTAGAAGACAGTGGAAACAGTCGGTCAGGCTTTTGGGGCAAGAGGATCTGGAAGAGAGAGGAATGTGGGTTATGTTTGGTGGCCAGACGCCATCTGAGGGCCACTTGAGGTCATCGCTTAAGAGGTGAGAATTATGATGGAGGACAGTTGGGAAGAGAACACCCCTCTGAAATGGTAAAGAATGAAGTGAACTTTGCATTTGAGGCCAGCTAGGAGTGCGGAAGGAGCATGGACTCAGGTTTGCCTCCAAGCTTGGCTACCTTCTTCTTCTGTGACTTAACCTCTCTGAGTCTCATTTTCTTTATCTCTAAAGTGGGCACACCAGCACCAGCTTCAGAGAGGATTTCTGAGGATAACCTAAAGGTTACTAAGATAGTGCCTAGCAGATATTAGGTGTTCCACAAAGTTTCATAAAGTTTACTGCAGAACCTTCCCCGTGGTCTCTTGTCATCGGTTGTAAGGTTATTGGCTGGGAGGGATAGTGATGGAGAACAGAAAGCATAACAGTGGTCGTGGATCCACTTATTTGTTCTGGGAAGCATTTTACTGAGGGTGTACAATGTGCCAGGGAATAAGTATGTGTACTGATTACCTGCCTTCAAGAAGTTTGTAGTCTAGAGGAAGACTTTGTTGATTTGCTATTAAAGTCAGAAGTGATTAATGAAGCTGTTCATTTGAGTTATAATAAAATTACTAATTTTTTTAAAATTCTGGTCCTGTGGCCTTCATGCTGTTTTAAGGGACTGTGAATCCTTGAGTGGTCATGCTGATTAAATAACTAATGTGGGATCCGTCCATGTCTTCAACAAATGCTTGCTGAGAGCCTGCTCTGGGCCAGCCTGTTGAGGGCTCTGAAGCCAGAGAGAGTCCCCACCTTGTGGAGCTTCCATGTGCAGTGGGAGAGCTGGACAACAGACAAATAAAGATAAAAGGTGCGAGAAGAACATATGGCGGGTGGGGGAGGTGAGGAGAGTCCTGTCTTGAGGAAGTGATCTGGTATCTCCACCTGGCTGCCTTAAGGAGGGCCAGGGTGCGTGCGGGCCTTCTTTAGCAAATCGGAAATCTTATTGTTTTCCATCGCTGACTTGAATCTTCTTGGAGTCCAGTAGATAACAGATTCTCCTTCTCTCGCTCTCTCTCCCTCTCTCTCTCTCAGAATGGCAGCATGAAAACTACGTCCACCACCACTCACTGGGCGTGTCTGAAGTCAGTTGTAGGGAATGGAATTCTCTGCCCTGTGTATGTACCTTTTTCTGGGATTTCCTCAGAAAGATTTCGATATCCCGTTTCTAATCTAGAAATCATATAATTGGATTTGAGAATAATAGCTTCTATTTTTTCCCTTTAGTTCCAAAAAGAACGCTTAGCTCTGTTTTCATTTTTCTTCTTGGGTTCCTAGTCTGTGCTGGGTTCTGTGCTAAGTGCTTTGCATATATCATCTCTCTTAATTGCTCAGCACGGCTCTACCAGATAGGCATCATTACCTTTCTTTTCTTTTTTATTTCATTTTTTAAAATTTTATTTTGTTTATTTTTTATCAAGGTCACATTGGTTTATAGCATAATATAAATTTCATGTGGACATCATTATATTTTGACTTCTGTATAGACTGCACCATATTCACCACCAAGAGTCTAGTTTTTGTCCATTACCATACATATGTGTCCCTTTACCCCTTTCACCCTTCCTCTCCCCCTTCCCCTCTGGTAACCACCAGTCTGTTCTCTGTATCTATGTGTTTCTTTGTTCCTCTTCCACATATGAGTGAGTTCATATGGTAATTGTCTTTATTTTATTTATTTATTTATTTATTTTTATTGATGTTTTAATGGTTTCTAACATTGTGAAATTTTGGGTTGTACATTTTCGTTTGTCCATCACCATATATGTGACTCCCTTCACCCCTTGTGCCCACCCCCCACCCCCACTGCCCCTGGTAACCACAGTCCAGTTTTCTCTGTCCATGTGTTGGTTTATATTCCACATATGAGTGAGATCATACAGTGTTTGTCTTTCTCTTTCT